AATCCTTTCCCAGTTTGCTATAAGAGATTAGAATTTCACTCACCACCAACCTTCAAACCACCACAATGCTACTAGGATGTTGGTATCTGTGATAAAATATGTGCAGCAGCAGCCTGGAATAGGTTTATGAAGAACCTAATAATTACCTCCTGGTTATGACCAAGCAATCACTTAGAAACAGCTGTTAGAAAAGACTGACCCCTCTTACACACACCAGGCACAGTGTGAGTAGGGGGTGTATGGAAGTCTGCAGATCTTACAGAAGAGTGCTGTATGCAGCCTAAGGAGCAGTGAAGGTATGACGCAGCAAGTTTTTTGTTATTTAATACAGAAGTGGAACCCAAAGAAGTAAGTAAGCCTGGCTTCTCTGATTTTTCCTCTCTGAGAATACGCAGTGATCCCTGTGGCAGTAAAGGAACTAAGGGCTAGTAAAGCCCAGACTGGGGAGAAACCCAGGATTAGATGTGCAGCTTTCTAGAGTTTGCAGATTGAATTATGTTAGTCTAAATCTGGATCCCTACTACATAGACAAAGGTTTCAGGAGGAGGTTCCTGATGAAGCAATGGAAGGGCTGCAGCCTGGCACGTTCAGGGTAGCTGTGTGCCCAAATGTTCTGTTGTTGATGGAAGGGACAGGTGTTGGGAGTATGTCCCAAGTGGGGAAACAGCACCGGACGACATTATCCGATTCAGTATAGCAATTCCTGTGGTGTTCTTTATAGAGATGTGGTGCTATCTGATTAGAGCCAGTTTTGACAGTGGCTTTGCATCTCAGGAGGACTGTTAACAACTTAAATCAGAGATGCTAAAGGTCCCTTCCAACTCTGTGATTCTATGACCACTGCATTATAGTTGTTCAGCTTCTGTGAATGTAGTTAGGCTTTGCTTTCTGGTGTGATTCAAATAAAAGAAGAGGGTTTGTTAGCTCCAAATCATGAAAATTCTTTGCCTTCTATCTTCTCTAGTAAAATATTTGTAATTAAAAAATGTAGTGGATTAATTGAACAACAGACACTGACTTCACTTTTGTCCTGCTTGTTCATGTTTCCAGCATTGCCTTTGTTTCTATAAAGAAATATGGTTTCAGGCGGTATCCAAAAATACAAATTTCTCTTCAGATTGCCAAGGACTGTCTCAAAGTTAAGAAATCTAGCACAGGATTTGCAAAAATATGGCCTGCAGACCAGATTCGCCCCACCAAGGGATTCTGTCTGGCCTGCGGTGGGTCCCTCAGTCCTACCCAGCCTAGGCACAGGAAACAACCCAGGCTGTGGTGTGTGCGGCCAGTCTTGCCAGCACCAGGTTCACAGCAGGGCTGAGATGGTGTGGCAGCCAAACTCATTTCCTGGTGGCAGTGACTCCTCCTTTTGTCTGCAGCTGCCAGTGTTACCACCACCACTGGACCCAGCTACACTGCCTAGGCACCCTGGCCCTTCCATCCCACACCTACCACAGGGGTGGGATTCATGTGGGCAGGGCATGCAGCCGGGCAGATGAAGTAGGGCTGTGGGTGGGTGGGGAGTACTGCCTGGGAGTAGGATAGGTGGGCAGACCCAAGATCATGGAGCAGGATCACAGGGCCCAGGGCAAAGCCACAATCTTGTTTCCCGCATACCCCCATGATAAATGCCAATTCTACAGATGTGGGAGGTGCGGGGAGCATATCATGGCTCTGCTCTGGGCCTCAGTCCCACACTGTCATCGGCCTGCAATCCCAGCCTCCCTTGCCTGTCCCACTGCTGGATGCTGCTCCCTGCACACCTGCGGCCCATCCCATCTGCCCGGCCACGTACCCTGCCTGCATGGGTATTTGCCAGTCTTTTTGGAGAACCTACAATTGCTGGGTGGTAACAGCTGGGGCCTGGGGTGGAGCTGTGATCCTCTTACCATATGTCCCTGCCCATGGAACCGGTGTCTGTCACAGGGACATGCTGCGTGCGGATTGTGACTTTGCCCTGGGCCCTGACCCTAGCCCTGTGATGTTATCACCCCACAATCCCAGCCCCAGCTCTGCCTACCCATCCTGCTCTTGGATGCTGTTTCCTACCTGCCTGTGGCCCCATCTCATCTGCCTGGCTAAGTGGAGCAGTGTTACATGGGGAGCTTTGGTGAGCTGTTGTGTTGGGGTGGGGGGTGCTGACCTGGCCCATGAGAGCTCATCAAACTCCTTAAATAGTCGTCTGGCCCAAATAATTTTCCACCCTAGCCTAGCACCACAGTATGTTTGTGTGCACACTACTTTCAAAGGTGTGACTATATCCTGTGTACCTAATCTAGCTAGTTTGGGCACCGATAACAATGTGAGCTGACTGAGTGGATAGTTAACCAAGTTCCTGGGTAAGTTTTATCCCATGGTAAGCTCCATGCTGTTACCACTACCATGTTTTCAAAAATGGGAGAGTAGGTTTTGTGTGATACTGTTTTTTCCTCACAAAAGTGAGTGAGTGGATGCAGTCCTGACCTTGGCATGCACACTAAAATTGAAAGGTAAAGCACTCTGAACCATGTGATTTAAGCAGACACTGAGGAAACTGCAAAGGGAATGTAATTTTCTGAGAATAATTCCTTCCTTCAGTAGCAGTTCTGTCTTTTTATTCCCCTGGCAACACATACATCTTGTAATAGCTACTCTTCCCTTCTTCGGCTGCTGAGCAGTTCTATTTTACTTAAATAGGGTTATACTGACTTGCATTAGATCAGGCCCATTGGTATGTGTGAGTGCGCACAAGCTTTCTGGAGAGTACAAATAAGTTTATTTTTTTTTGTACCCAGCCAATGCACCTTGAAAAGCTGCTATTGTAAAAGCATGTTTAGTTTCTTGAATCTAAATTCTTATTAGATATCACCAAATCACTTGTGGCAGTTTTGTAAGACTGGTTAGTCTTTACTCAGAAGAGCCCAGAATTGAAATGGCATGTGCAATATGTAATAGGTTAGGACTGAATGTTCTAGCAAAGCTCTCTGGGACCTCACATACAGTGTTTCTGTCAGCCCAGTAATTTTAGAAAAGTTCAATTCACCCAAACACTTAATGGAACAGAGCTTGGTCAAAAACAAGGCTAGAAGAAATAGGATTTTAACTGGGTCTTAATGTCCATGATGCAGTTTCCAATAACAGAAACCAATACAACTTCTGCAAATAAAGTGGGATCGTGCAGGAGACAAATGTTTGGCTTCTACAGACTTTGAACAAAATGGGGGAAAAAAGTTGAAAATGCCTGTCCAGAGATCACCGCTAATGCACAGTAGTATCATATACATTTGCTTCCTGTTAAAATTTAACTTTCCAAACCAATTTACTCTTTTCTAAATCAATAGTATGTTCCCCAAACACTAAAATACCCCATTAATCCACAATCATGCCTTAAGTACAGTGACACCAGCCAGGCCTTTTTTTCTGTCCCCATTCCCCCATCAAAACTTTATCAAACCTTGTTGGAGGAAAATGCACATGGCAATAAAGGCTTCCAATAAAGCAGAATAAATGCAGTCAGATAACTAGCATTTATTTAGACACCCACAACCAGATGCTGATCTGATATGGATTACAAACAGTCACAACACACCAAGATGGTCATGATTAATCATGACAAATAGCCTGTCAAGCTAGAAATAATCACTTTCAGCTCAAATAAAGGTCACTGCTTCTGCTACAATTAGCTACAATTTTCAGCCTTCAGGTAGTGATAACATCTATTACACACACAGAAAACATTAAATAAGGAAAGAAGTGACAAAGCACAAAACTTTTTACCAATCGCAACAATTTCCAATTTGGCATGACTAAGAACTACAAAACATACTTCTAGTAAGGGTATGATTTTATATCCCTGAACCAACACAGTCAATTTAGTAGAATAAGCTCTCTCTAACACTTATAACTCTATGAGTTAACTGTGAAGCCTGACTATTTCCTTGCAGTTCTCTTCCAAGGAGGGTCATCCTAGTATGGCATAGTTCTCTCTGGGAAAGAGGGCTGAGGCATATGGGGCATTTATACACGTGCTCTGGGGCAGGGAGGGTAGGGAGAGACACTTTTTAATTAGAGCAGCTCTTGAAGCTGCTCTAATTAAAGTGCCCAGAGCATCTTGTATATCAGCATCCGCAAGCTTAAAAATGGTGGTGGGGGCACTTAACTAAAGCTTGTTCAATCAGCTTTTAGTTAAAAGTGCCCCTGCCATCATTTTTAAGTGCAGAGATGCTGATACACGAGACACTGGAGTCTGGAGCACGATAATTACCAAGCTCTGACGTATTTTAATTACAGTGTATCGGAGCAGCCTTGCTGCTCACGTATAGGTGTCCATGATGTCTTCCTCCTTTCATTGCCTGTATGTGGCATCACTGCCTACCTGCTGTCTAGGCTGCCAGGAAAACTACAGGGATCCCTATGGTGGCAGTGACCATCTTGCCTACCCCACCTACTCAATAACTGCAAGCTACTAGAATGCTAGCAAGGTTTGTTAAAGTGCCAGGATGGTGTGTCAAGATGGTCCACCATGGCATGAGCAGTTTGTATTTGATAGACTGTGAAAATGAAATTCAGAGTGTGTAAAACTATAGGTTGGTATGTAGTTAATATTAGACTTTCTACTTTGGAAACTATGAAGGTAAATTCTTTGTAATAGATTTATAAAGGTGTGTAGTCACTTTAGGGAGGAACATTTTGCAGGTCTAAATAAGGAAAGTTTTCCCTTTTTACCATTTATATAAATGTTTAGCAGATGAATCATTAAGTTATTTCTGTTGCATTTGGAATCCCATGTCTACAACACAATAGGTGGAGAACAAGATCACTTTTTGCTTCTGACCTCCAAGACTTGGACCCCACATCTCCTAAGGTGAAAAACTAATTTTCTCACACTTTGGTACTATAATCTCTCCCCTTTTAAAATGGTCTTAACACCAGATCTTAAGAAACTTGTTAGATACCCATGCATGATGTATAACTGGATCAGAGGATTCAGACTTCTAGTAAGTGGAAGAAAACATAAGTGTCACCTTATGGAGATCTACAACAGCCTCAGTGCTTTCACGGTTGTCCACTTCTTCTAGATTCCACTGTGTCTGTCTCTGCTTCTCTAGCAATTCATGGTAAGCCTATGGGAAGTATACAAGACAAGATAAAGCCAAAACCCCAGTTGACATGAAAAGGCATTAGAGGATCAAGGATGCTTTTTGACTACACCAAAGCCACTAAAACTGTAAAAACTATCAGAAAAAAAAACATGCATGTTGTCTTACCTTACATGAGTGACAGGAGAAGTCAAGGGCACTGATGTGATTTCAAGTGATACTGGTTATTAAAATATACTTAGAGGGGCATTGTTCATTTTGCTTGGACATCTTAATTTGGGCATATCCTAACTTCCAACTTGATTTTACAAACTGGAGCAGGGCACAGTCCAGGACCATGGAGATGCTTTGGTAGCTGACCAGACAGTCTCTATGCTTGCCCCTTGCCCTGATGCAACCTGGACCTGAGCTCTGTTTCAGGTAAGCTTCCAAGGGAGGGGGTGCGGGGGGCAGCTGCCCACCCCACACAGGGACCATATGCCCCCCGCAGAGCCCCAGCCCCCCTGCACGGCACACATCTCACTGCCAGCAGCAACGGCTACTTGGGTGCTCAGGGCCTCCTGACACAGCCCCCTGCGCAGCGCAGGGCAGTGTGGCTTGGCCCCGGCCACCTAGCACCCAGCACTGCCTGTGCCACATCATGTGGGCCTGGCACAGTGCAGTCTGGCACTATGTGCCTTTGAGCATCTCTGGGCTGCTCAGGCTGTCACCTGGGGCCCCATGCCACTCGCGGGGACTGCTTGTCACACCAGGCCAGGTCCTGCGGGCATGGAAGCTGCATGAAGGCACACGTTACCGTGCGGTGCTGGACCAGGCCTGTGCCATGTGGCACAGGCAGTGCCAGGTGCTAGGCAGGGTAGGAATAAAGGAATACAAATTTCTAAAATGTAGAATGCCTGAGGGTTGCTGTGTAGGATGCCATTACTGAGCATTTTATTTTTATTTTTTAAAAACCTTGATTATTTTTTGAAGAGGTTCTCCTTGTATGAATAGCAAAAACCAGCTTCCTATTTCTAGGGCTGCTGACGGATGTAATGTTAAAGTAAAGGTGTGATGGGATCTGATGCAGATCCCAACAATCATGTCTCCTGCCACACCAGGTGCTTGGCTGGAGACACAACTGGGGGATTCTGCATAAGATCCCACTGAACCAAGCTTGGCTCCCAGCCGGCTGAGCACACGATGAGCTCCTGCAGCTGGAAGCCCTTTCAGCTGGCCAGAGTTCCAGCTGGGAGAGTGCACCATGCTGACCAATCAGCTGACAGGGCTCCTACCTGGGGTAGGCATGGTGTGCTCCTTTAGCTGGGAGCCCTGATCATCTGAGAGGACTCCTAGTTTCTGGAGCATGCAGGAGTCTTTAAAGGCTCCTGTGTGCTCCAGAGGCTGGGTGCCAACCACATGTGCAATTAAAGGTATGATAAGAACGAACTGCACAGTTATTACACAAAAGATGTACAATTATATATTTTGTATTATAACTTTGTGGCTTGTTCCTTTTTTATTATGCCATTAATTGATTAAATGCATGGCCAGGCCTACACTTAAGAAGTGATTAATCAGTCTAGTAGCCATGAATATATACATGTTAACCCTATTATCGGAAAACTTAACAGGGCATAATGACACAATAAGGGTCACTCATAGTATCCTGTTCAGTTTAGATCACAGATCTAATGGGACATCATTTTTCACTGAAATTGAACTGGTTCCAGACTTCAAATGTTTCAGAGAATACTAAACAATATATCCACATCTGGAGCAGGGGCAGGCAGAGGTCCTGTTTGTGACTGGGGCTTCCTAGCAGTACAGACATATTACCTTGCTGTCATTCAGTACACTGTTGTTTAAAGAGAAAACTAGGTCAAGGGTACTAGGTAAGCAAATAGGCTGGCTCAAAACTGCAGCAACCTGGTATCTTTATTACCCACACAGAGGGTTTGTCTACATGTTCATGAATGCCCTTTTGCTACTGCACATTAAATTTAGTACCTCTAATGTTAGGTACTAAATAAATGCACATTAGACTGCTCTAATGTGCAGTAGCAACTGGATACACATTTTTTTTTTTTTAGTAATGCTTAATATGCAGTAGCCTAACTGTAGAGTATTATGATGGCTTTTAATGTAATGCTCTAATGTGCTGTAAAATACACTACTGTGCATTAAGGGACACGTGTAGATGCACCCAGAGAAGACAAAACTTGTTTCTATTAGATCTTATCAGAAAGAATTGCACGTTACAAACCACACAGAATTTACTTAACTTTCAAAGGCTGCATAAATCTAGCCAGGGTACAAAACTCTGTTCCCACTACCAAAAAATAATTAAATTCCTATCGAATGCATGAAAGGTGGACTTCATTCTCTCTCCTTAATAACACCTTCTTGAAGTTCACAAAATCCTATTTGTGTAATATCAGAAGATTATGTTCTGATTACAATGGTTCTACATCTAGACTTCCATGGATAGGAAATTCAATTAATTTAACAAGAGAGAGTTTGGCTCAAAGACCTTGGTTTGATGGTGATCCAGAATAGTAATGACTAAACTGGTTACCTGCTAATAGTTGTTTTGTGGTTTGTGTGAGGGTCTTGCATTAGGTCTTCATGGACAGATAGTATCTGTGTTGGCCACCTTGGTAGTGTGGCCATAGATTTTAATAAGTATACTCATTCCTCCTTTCAGCTGGTCTTTTAAAGCCATGATTGCAACAAGTTAGCAGGCATATATTTTATAATACTAAGGGGTGTAGGTTGTAGTTGTGTTGATCTAAAGACATAGGCAGACAAGGTTATTTGGGTGAACCTGATATCTTTTATTAGACCAACTGAAATAGTTAGAAAAAAAATTTTAAGCAAGCTTTCAGGTTTAAAAACCCTTCATCAGGCTGAGGAAGTCTCTGTAGTTGGTGTGTGCTCTTCCTGGATGGAATGAATAGTGAAGAAGCCAGAGGCTGGGCTGGTCTGCATGCAAGATAGGCAGTCAGTAAAGATGTCAACTGAGTCAGTGGGTGATGGACAGCCTGGAGGAGTGGGGGTAGAAAAGGAGGATGAATGTAGCAGTTGCACAGTGGAGAGGTACCTGGGGAATCTGATGGCACGCAGGTTATAATGTGTCATAAATCCAACGTCTATATTTTGTCCATGATTTTTTGTATCCTGGAAATTGATGAAGTGAAGTTCATAGACTTGTCTCTGAGAAATGTTTTGTAAGTACCCTTTGGGGATTAGAACAGAGATTGGAGAGAGAGGTCTTCTTGTGAGAAATGTGCCCCCACCGGTAATTGGGTATTTCTGTCTTTGATAGCTTTCCGGTGTGCATTCATTCTGGTGTGAAGTTGTTGTTTGGTCTCTCCTACGTATTGTCCATCAGGGAATTTGGTGCATTAGATGAGATGTATTACATTTCTGGAGGTGCAGCTGTAAGATGCAGGAATGCTGATGGCTCTGTTGTGGGGTTTGGTAATTGTGGGGATGGTGGAGATATGTCGGCAGGCTTTACATTTCTTGTCATGGCGTGTTCTGGGCCTTAGGAATTTTGCTTCTGGTGATGAGGTTAGTGAGGTTTGGTGTTTGTTTGAAGGCTAGGATGGGTGGTTCTGGGAAGATCTCTTTAAGAATACCGTCTCTTTCTAGTATGGGTTGCAATTGTTTGGGGATTTTCCATATGGGTTCGAGGGAGGGGTGATATGGCTGGGGGGAAACATTTCTCTCTCCAGTATCTCAGTTCTAATCCTCAAAGAAAACTTACAAAACACTTCTCAGAGATAAACCCATTAACTCCCCTTCATCAGTCTCCTGGATACAAAAAATCATGGACTAAATACAGACATTGGATTTATGACACATTATAACCTGTCTGACATCTGACTCCCCAAATACTTCTCCACTATTTAACTGCTACATTCATCCCCCTTTGCATTCCCCCTCCTCTTGCCCCTCCCCCCCACCTGTCT